AAGCTTCGTTTGTTGCAGAGTTCACTACAAAAAAATACTATTTCTTAAACCGTGGTTAATCCCACATTTTTATAAAAAGAGAAAAAATGCCGCAATAATTTTTTTTTTCCCCTCTTGAAACAAATTAAAGCTATGGTTTTTGCAACAATCGTGGCTTAGTGAGACACGATTTCTAGCAAAACCGTAGTTGACCACGGTTTTATCAGAAATCAAGCCACGGCCGGTTTCTAACACAGTTGTGGTCACCGAGCCATGGTTCTGGCAAACGCGGTTTTTCTGACAAATTCATGGCTCAATGAGCCACAGTTCAATGCCAATATTATATAAACCCTGTTCCCTTCACTTTAATTTTCACTTTCATGCTCAAACATCTTCAAGTACATGCTGCTTGTGTTTCCTTTATTTTTTATTTATTTTAAGTATGTTTTTATGTTCAATATATTTTATTATATATTTTCAGGGATTTAAAAAAATTCTCTAACACACTACAAATTTGGCATTTCATTGGACACTTGAGATAATTTATTTTTTAATTTAATGTTATTTTTAATTATATAAAATATCATGTATAACATTTATTATTTTATTTTTTAATATGCATTTGATAAATTAAAAATGAAAATTTTTTAATCTTTTAGTATGAAATATGACAAGAATTTATGTAGTAGTATTTTATTAGATTTAAGTTTTTATTACAAATTTTTATTCTATATATAGAATAATTTAAATGTTAAATTAATGTTTAAATTAAATTTATTTTCTCGACTTAAATTTATGCTGTGAATGTTGAGATTTTTATTTACATTTTTTATATTTATTTAAATAATAAAAAATATGTTTAAATTTTATGCTTAAATATATAAATTGTAAATATTCTTTTATTTTATACAAAAAATAGATAAATCATGAATATCTAAATTTCACAACACAAGAGAATATATGAATCGTCTGGAAGGATTTTTAAATTGTGCTTTTACTAATAGTGGTGATGAGAGTAAGATAATTTGTCCTTGCCCTAAATGTAATTTTATAAAATGGAATGTTTAAGAGGAAGTTTAGAACAACTTAATTGCTAAACCATTTTCTCCTAGATATATATGTTGGGTTTTACCTAGTGAAAAACATGAATTTAGAGCAACTTCTTCCAATGGCCTAGTTAATGTAGGAAATAAATTAAGGAAACGAGGTTAGTGATCATATTCATAAATTAGTTTGTGATGCTTTTGGGGTGCAAAAAGGAAATGAAATTTCAATTCAAATTAAGGATTCATCACAAAATCAAAATCAGAGGATGAATGAAGAGACCAAAGAATTTTTCGAATTGGTGCAAGATAGGCAAGAGCAATTATATGATGAGTATGAGAAATATTTAAAATTATCATTCTTAATTAGATTATACTATATTAAATGCTTGTGTGGTATAAGCAACAAAGCGTTATCTATAATTCTAAACTTATTAGTAGATGCCTTTCCATTTGGTAAAATTTTCTTTTTATTTTATGAAGCAAAAAAAACTATTACTAAGTTAGGATTGGAATATAAAAAAATTGATGTTTGCCCAAACAATTGTATGTTATATTAGGAGGAAGATGATAAAAGAGAAACCTATAAAACATGCAATACATCAAGATAGAAATTGATATCCAAAAAGGAAAAAAAAATGAAAAAACCTGTAAAAATTTTGAAATACTTTCTATTGAAGCCATGATTGCAATGACTATTTATGTCTGCTAAAATTGCAAAGCATATGAGGTGGCATGCTGATGAAAAGAAGATAGACAATAAGTGAACTTTATAAAGCTTTATGAAGCAACTCATTTAAATAAAAAGGGCAATCCCTACAATGAAGAAACAGCTATGTAGAGATTGTAAGATAATAATTTATTTTCTAAAATTTTAATTGAAATTAAATTAACAATTCAAATTTTTTTCTAATTTCTCTTTTTAAATTTTTTTTAAAATAGGAAAAAGTCAAGGAATATGAAAGTCAACATTTATCAAATTCTAGTGTTGGTAATAATATTTTAGTGCAAGCTTTAGGCCCAAATCACTATGGATGTGTGAGGGGATTAAGATTAGGTCCAACACCGACACATGTATTCTGACGTTCTCGTTTAAGTCAAGGTAGATCAAGTCATTTTTATAGAAAATGAACTTGATCAAATGAAAATAAGGGTGTTATAAGTGGAGGAGCAAAACAAGATATTGCAAGAAGAGTTGGCTCTGGAAAGAGAAATGATGGCTTTAAAAAAGAAAGGGAAGAACAATTTCTGGCCATGCAAAAGAAAATGGAAGAAAGAATAATGAAATTGATGGAAGTGAAATGCCAAGTGTGACACTTTAATTCAGTAAGTACGCTTAACTTGTTTCATTTATACTTTTTTTCATCCTATATTTTATAATGCTATATGTTTGTTCTTATTTTCAAGATTCATCTTCTAATGCTAGTCCAGACAGTAAAATAAATATGAATTTGAACAATCCCCCAGACACTTAGATGAATTTTCTACTTGAAATTATTATTTGTAATAGACTAAGGAATTTTTGTCTCTTTTTTTGGCTTTATGTTTAATTTTGTTGAAACTTTGATGAACAATTTCATATCAAGTTGTTTTCTAGTTAATAATGCTTTCCTTACGGGTATGATAGCTTACCAATAATATATAAATTATTTGTATTAAAATTATTAACATAACTTTCATTAACTTAAACTTAAATTTTATTTAACAAAAAAATAATTTATTAGTGATATAATAATTTATTATTATCATTATATAATTATTTTTTGTTTAAAATTAATACTATAAACTTTATTTAACAATAAATTTGCACAATAAAATTTAGTTAATTATATAAGGATTATGTTATTAGAATAATTTATTTGAATTATTAATAGAAATATGTCATTTTTATTGTTATACAGTATAAAATAAAACAATTTAATTTAGTTATTATGACAAATAATTTAATTTAATTTTTTTAAATTAATTATTGGTTTAAAATTAATCCTATAAATTTCATTCATTTAAATTTTATTTAAAAATGAATTTGCATAACATAATACAGTTAATTATGTAATAAATTTTTTATTAGGACAATTTAATTATTTACAGTCATTAATAAAAGTATCTCATTTTATTGTTATAAAATATAAAGTAAAAAGTAAAACAATTGAATTTAATTATTTTCAAAAATTAATAAACATGTGTCTTTTTTTTTATTAAAATAATGGCATCAGCCACGTTTTTAGACAAGCCACGCTTTTGGATAAACATGGCTATAAATCTAGTCTTTATATATAAGTGCGAGGTCTTTCTTTCATTTGTTTGCTCATCTTCCAATCTCTTTTTTAGTGTCATTTCTTCTGATAGCTTTTCCGGTGTCATTTCTTCTCTTGCATATGTAAGTTGTTTACAATTTCATTCTTTTTCTTCTTCATCTCTGTGAATTACAGGATTAGTTGTAGTGGTTGAACCTCTCATTTTGAAAAGGATGAGTGACCTTAATGCTTTGTTAGAGAGAATGACTGAGACGATTTGAATATATAAACTATATAAAGGGATGAAGAGAATTACTGAATTAGAGAAGAATGAGAACCGGCCCGGGCTAATATAGAAAGCTCATGCAAGGGAGAAAAAAATAATAATGTTTGCTGATTAATTAATAACAATCCATATTATTTATTAATTATGGAAAATATAATTGATTTCTTTTTTATTACTGTATTGGAGGCAATTATATTTGAAGTATGGTCAGACACTAAAAATAAATATAAACATTTTTAATAAGGATTTAAACCTTGTTTGTCATATTGTAATATTCTTTCATCTCTAATTATAAGACAATTTGAAACAAAATTATAAATGTCAATAAAAATAATAATAACACTTTACAAATTTTTTCAAATTAAAATTATAAACTTTTAAAAATATCCTTATAAACTTAATTATTATATGGTATAATATCATTTCAATTCTTTCTTCATTTAATGGATAATATTAAAAAATATTATTTTTTTAAATTGTTTTATATTTTGGGATAATAAAATTTTTTGACAGTTATTTTATAATTTGAGAGACAAGGGAGTAAATTAGCTCTTTCGTCCCAACGGTGTTGATAAATATAATTGATTTATGTAATGATTGATCCATAGCTTTCTCAAGTTTTATACAAGGACCCGCGCAACACACACACACACTAAATACTTTAAATTTCATTAACTTATATAATAAATTTTTAAATGCTAAAAAATTCTGTAAACATATTGTTGATGTATAGGCCTTTGCGAATTTTATGAGAAACTTACAAATTATTTTTTCTTTCGAAAATAATGTATATATTTTAAGAATCCATTGCAAATCTTTGTAATTTTAAAAAAGTTAACTAATTTTTTAAATTTTATACAAGGTTTAGAAAATTTTTTAAGCGATATTTTATAAATAAAAATTATATCAATTTTAAAAATATAAAAAAGTTTAGACTATTTTAATAGAATTTAAGAACGAATATAGTTTACTCTAGAATAATATACCAATGTGGATCCAAAAGAAAACGACAAGATGGTAGAAAGCTTGGATGGTTCCAAGGTTAATATAATATAATATAATAGTAACTTGCAAGTTAATTAATTATGAGGTTGGGACTTGGGAACATGTGGTTAGGGTCCTAACCATGGAAGTATGTCGTTTAGTAGACTAAATAGTTGACTATGAGGGATTCAATTGAGATACAGTTGTCGTATGAAGGCTGTACTTCTCCATCACATGCATGTAGATACCCAAATTTTTCATCCAATTTATTAGTGTGCTGGTAAAGTACACTATCATTGTGATCAAGATGATATAATTGTAGGGTTAGGATCTATTATTTTTGTTATTGAACTATTTTCATAAAAGTATCAAATATTTTATATTCTTTGCCGTAACAATTTTGTCATTGAATTAACTAAATTATAGCAATGTTATCCTTAATATTAAATGAGCAAATATTGATCATTAAAGTTTAAAAATATGCTCTTGCTAATTTATTAATTTCTTTACAGATATTTTTGAAATTTCAAAAATATGAGAAGGAAACATCGAAGATCTCAACAATCAAATTATCTAGTATAGCACTCTCAATCCCCGAAGCCAGTTCTACTTTTTGCTCCTCGAAATTGTTCCATCTTTCTCTCTTATCCATGTCCCTAATGCAAGCATTCTTATCACTATTTTCTAAATCATCACCAAATGACCCATTCAACCAATCTTGTGCTCTTCTCATTATCTCACACTCAAACTCATTGTCTTCTTGATCAATTCTCCTTTTCTTTGCTTCATACTTGAAGAAATCCAACAATAGTTTGTTTAAATAATTAGCTTCACTCCCTTGAAATGAACCACTTGATTTGGCAAAATGTAGCAATTTCCATGCCATTTTCTCAGTTCTATCTGGTTCTTCGTATTCACCAATGTCATCGTTGCCTTCGTCGAAGGTTGTAAGATCATTAATCCTTTGTATAATTTGCGTACATTTCTGTGTTTCCCCTGTTCAAAACGTATTTGTTAGAATTATTCTCAAATCAATGTTACTAGTTGATCTAAATGAAATGATATAGAGGGAACTTACTTTGAACATTGACAAGACTTTGATCAAAGGGACAAAGTTCATGCTGCTCAATCTGAAGCACTGAAACTGGGCTCCTTTGCTCTTCTTCTTGCCTTCTTAAACTTAAATCTCTCTGTAATCATGGTTACAAATTAAATATGAGAACATGACAAACATAAATATTTTTGAATGAAACATTATAAACTAAATCAAATAGTACTCTTCTCATTGCTCCCGTACATTAATTAAACAATATTATATAGCTAATTAGCTTCCCTTCTCAATTATTTCCTAGATCGAAACTTCGTTTTGTCTTACATAATAGTTTCTTTTTTATTATTAGGTTTAGATCTTTTAAATTAAAATTTTAAAGATTTTTAACATAAAATAAAGTAAAAATAACATATGTTCTAATTTTTTATATTTTTTTAAAATAAATTCATTTATATTTATGTATTTATACTTGAAGATTACACAAAATAAAATTACTATGTACATATAAAGTTTCTATTGTATCGAATCTCTTTTCCAAACATACTTTATATTTTTTCTTTGACAGTATAAAATTAAAATAAGTTTTCAGGAGATTTTTAAAAATATTTTTTAAAAAATATTTTAATTCAAAATTATTCTTCGTAGAAAAACAGAACAAAACAAAAGAAGCAAGCTGTAGACCAAAATGAAAAGAAACAAAAGAAGCATGTGGTTGAATTGAGTGATGGCCTCAACAGCAGACATACGATATTTTTTTAAGAGACGCGATGCACCATATAATTGCTCACCTTGGTCCCAACTGAATTTGCTGTTGTCGCATGCACCGAATCCGCGCCGACAAGAGGCGAGAATCTTTTCTCCTCCACGACGTCGTTTCGAGAACACTCCACAAAATTACCGTCGTACGAAGAGAAGTCACTGTCACTCCAACTTGAGCCTTCGCTGCTACTCCAAGAGCTGGAAGCGGAAGAGACATCCAACGGCTGACGTTGATCCTCCTCCAGGTCACCGAACGATCTCCACCGCACGATGTCCTTGATTCTGACGGGGACTTTGATTTCCGTCGTTCCCCTCCAATTCTTGGATTTGCTTTCCTTGAGAGACTCCGAGGCAAAATCGAAGGGGATTTCTCCGCGAAAGAGGAAAGCCTCTTGACGAGGGCGTTCAGGAGAGAATTCAGAATTCTTCGATTTGAATTCCTGGATGAGGATGAGCTGAGGTCCATTTCGATGAGGCTACGCATGGTAGTGGAGGGAATAGGATTCCGTGGAAGCGGTTTGAACCCATCAATGGAAGGAGAAGGAGAAGAAGTTGAACTCTCCCTGAGAAGATCTCTCAGCGTTCGAGGGCTACGCCTTGTTTGTTGCAGAGCAGAACTACTCATTTTGAAGAAGAAGAAGACGAAGTTGGTACAGTGTGAGAGAGAGTTAGAGATTTGAATATATAAAAGGTGGGGAAGGGAAGGAGAGGGGGTAGCTTCGAGGTGGAGATCTCAAGATTTCCAGGTAATATAGAAGCTCTTGCAAGGTGGAAAATATATTATAATGTTTTGTTACAGTGAACCATAAAATGCTCAACTTTTTTTTAGTTAATGCCTTAAGACTGTATAATTTTTATTTTTTAGATAAAAATATTTTAACTGTAAAAAAAAAAATAAATTTCCGACATATCAGGAGTAGGATAAAGTATGGATAAAGATCCCAGATTCAAATCTCCTAATGTAAAAACTAATGGTAAATAAATTTTAAATTTTTTAATGTTCATATAAAATATAAACATTTTTTTATTTCAGGATATTGTAAGAAATTTTTATATGAAAATAAATTATAGATTTATCAAGGTCATTGCTAATATTTTTTAAATACACAGACCTTGCTTCTATTGCTTTCAAAAAAGTGGGTGTATATACATATTCTCTCTGTGTTTTTTTAACTAAATCACACTTCAATAAAGTGCCTTCAAATTAACAATTTTTTTGTATTTACCTTTATTTAATAAATTTTTTTAATTTAAAATAAATATAAAATAATTTATTTATTAAAAATATTTTTATAAAAATTACAGTAATTACACCTTAAAATACTAAAATATCTTGTGTTTTTAACATTTAAATTCTTAAAAAATATCTTATATTATTAATAGAGAGAGTACAAATGAATGATAATCAATTAATCATATGTAATTTAAGTTTTTTTGTGTAATTTAATATTTATTTGACGAAACTTTTGTATGGGTTTTAAATTAAAAAGAAAATTTTTATAATATAAAAAGAAAAAATTATATTAATTCTAAAAATGAAAATTATAGAAAATTTTAATAAAATTAAAAAAAAACTGTATGTTTTACTCTTGAATAGTAAATTAGTGTAGATCCAAAAGCAAACGACAACAGTGCATGGCTCAAACAAAAAGAATAGGAAGCGACAATAATGGTAGAAGCTTGGAAGGTTCTAAGGTTGAAATAGTGTAATATATCAGAGTGATTTGCAGGTAGGTTATGAGATTGAGAACAAGTTATTAGGGCTTTAAACATAGAAGCATGTCGTTTAGTAGACCAAATGAGTTGACTATGATGGATTCATCTCAGGTACATTTGTCGTAAATGGTACTTCTCCATCACATGCATGTGGGTACACCGATTTTCATCCATTTTATTACTTGGTTTAATGCTATAATTCGCTAAAATACTGTAGGCCATTAAATACATAAATATAATTTTACACTTATTTTCGCTATATATCAGTTACAAGTTCATGAATATTGTGACTCATTTTTCATACGATATGTGATATAAAGAAACACCTAATAAATTAACAATATTAATTGAAATAAAAATAAAAGTGATATATTGTCCAAAAATATAAACTTTATAACTTAGATGATGCACTACTTATAAGTTACAATAGAATAGTTTGTTATGGTTAGTGTTTGCTTTAAGATTATGTCAAGTTGCCAGAGTTTGGTTTTCAAAAGAGTCAGATTTACGTCCCTTGATTGATTTGGGTCAAGTGGGCTAGAGTAATGGATCCTCAAAAGAGTAATTTAAATAAAGTGATTGTGTGGGTTTCAAGATTCTTTACCACAATTTTATTAGAGTGTCAAATAGATATGAGAATAAGAGTAGGCCAAGTGATTGCAACAATGTAAGTTCAACGAATTCTCTATCAAACAGAGGTAAAAGTGAAGTAATTAAAGACTAGCCTATGGAGCCTAGCCAAGATGAACAGTGTGAATCGCGTTGGGCCAATGTATTGAGTCTTTGCTCGAGACAAGTTGAATTGATTAGACTGATTGTGTAGGGTATCAAGAGATTTAAATTTACAAGCTTGTTGCCTATTTATAGAAAGTGGCAGTGGTGTGCTCTTTATATTTGAAATCTAGTGCTTGAAAGAAGCAAGTAACTATTCATGCCATCAGTTTAGCCGATGGTGAGCCTCATTGTGTGGATAAGCTTGGGTAGGTGAGCCGTGTTTCTCAGACAGTAGGATGAGAACAGGTTGTAGGTTCCTTAAATGAAGCATTTCACTTAGCATTTGATAAAGCAAATTGGCTAAGTAATGGGTTTTCATCTCACGAATTGGTTTGGACTTCAGCCAAACTGTTTTCTAAGGCCCCACCAATGCACCAAAACTAGTCAAAATAGATATGATGGTGTTCCTTATTCTTTAGGGTTTATAAAATGCATTGATGAGAAGGCGGATTAGATTAACAAGATTAATTAAAATGAAAATGAAACAATTAGTACAATCCAAAAATAATTAGACAAGTAGTGGTATTAATTTAAACATAAAAATTGCTAACAAAATTGTTTCAAACTGTAAATATAGTGCATAACTCACAAGGTATGATAATTTAGCTGATAGGTGATCGATTTGTATGCTTCTCTAATAAAAGAATGCCCCGACATAGTAGCCTTAAGAGCTCAACTTATCCAATTTTTTTTTACAGAAAAAGGAATAAAATTTAAAATCAAAAATTATCTAAATTTTTTCTACCAACAAAAAGAATTCAAATAGAAAAATGTTCATGAGTGATTTGAAAAAAAAAAACAAACAAAATAATTACAATCCTACCCTACATGTTGTAAAAATTTGATTTTTATTATGATAAAATTACTTTCAGTTACTTTAAAATAATATTATTTTATAAAACAACTCATCTCCTAAATATTATTCTGTGTGTGAGTATATAGAATGATCGAGAATGATAAAATGGAAAATTTTATGATGATGAATATCCATTTATAAATTTTAAATTAAAAACCAATCAAAATTAAATAGAACTTTGGGGATGAGAAATTTAGGGCGAGTGTGATTTCTGTTTATAAAAATAGTTTTTTCTTCTTTAAAAACAAAAAAAAATTTAAAATTTATTTAGGTAAGTATTTTAAATTTAATTGTTTCCGTTCTCATTTTTGTTTCTCTTTAAAAAATAGAAACATCTTAAAACTGTTTTTATTTTATTTTCATATTTTTAAAATATTTATAGTTGAATATTAAAATTATTAATCATCTTGATCAATCATTATTATAAGCCATTATCATCAGGCGTCAAAGGCTATTACTATTGGTTGATTTTCAAATTCTAAAATCATTTTTAAACTAACAAGATCAAACATATTTTTTTTGTTTTGAAAAATAATATTTAAAAACAATTTTTAAAAATAAAAAATGAAATATACAACCCAAACATACCCTTAACTAGAGTATGCCCTGTGCGATGTTCTACACGTTAATGGTATTGATTTTTTTTTTTTATCAAAAACATATGTTACTGTTATTTTTACTGCAGAACAAACAGTAACAAAAGATTATATTTTACAAAAGAATTTTTTTTTTTCCGCAGCCATATAACTCTTCCTATGTACTCCAATTTTGTGGTTTTTAACTCTTAAATGGTGCGGCATGCCTTCCCCTTCTTAACTTATGCATGCCTTACCTTAATGATTGATCAAGTTAAGGTAATATTAACTTTTTCCCACCAATTTTTCATGGACACACACAGCGGCATGCCTTACCTTCTAACTTATGCATGCCTTACCTTCTTAACTTATGCGTGCGTGATGCTTACCTTCTTAACTATGCGCGCATGCGCGCGCGCACACAGGGGTTGTTCACAGGACAGGACAGGATCGGGACACCCTCATTCCGTGTTTCATTCTGAAAAAAAGATCGGGATTAATTTTGGTACCGTGTCCCATCCCGTCTCGAAAGTCGTCTCGTCCCGTTAAGAGTTGGGTGGGATCGGGACAAGATCGAGACGTCCTGCTATCCCGATAAAATGAAATAGATCAAAAAAAAGATTTGGGACAATAATGTTCATTAAAATTTTAAATTATATAATGATTAAGTTTAAAATAAAAATAACACAAGTACATAAATAACAATAATTTAAACTTAATGATTATTATATTAATCACAACTACAAATTATATAAAAAAATACAAGTGATCTTTATGCTATAAAATTAGCAACAACAGGCAAGTCAAATACAACATATAATATTGTTCTTCTACTTTAGTAAAGATATTACTAAGCTAATTTACTCTTCTAAAAATAAACAAGAAATATGTTATAAATAAAAGTTATTAAATAGATAGATATAAGAATAAATTATTATTAATATAATTAATATATTATAAAAAAGATATCGTCATATTTACTCCATACCATTAAAATTATCAATATAAAAATACTTTAGTTTTAATAAGAATTGTAAGTATTAAAAATTATAATTAATATAATTTTAATTATAATTATTATATTAAAATTATAATTAATATAAGCATAAATTATATTAATATAATTAATATATTTAAAATAAAAAATAATATATATAATATTTGGGGAGGACGGGACGTCCCGATGGTAATCCCGTGTCCCGTCTTGTCCCGACCCTTTTTCTGTCCCGTCCCGTAAAGTCCCGTCCCGATTATTTTTGGGTGAGACAAGACCCGTCTCGATATAATCGGGATAATATCGGGTCAATCGGAATGGATCCAGATTGAAACACCCTACACCACACATTACATGCAAAAAAAAAAAGAAAAGAAAAAGAAAAAGAAAAAGAGGTGAAAAGTGGTGAGAAAATTGTAGAGGAGTGAGGAAAACTAAAAGCAAATCGCGTGATGAAGATTGCTTTGGCTGACACAATAAGCAGGATCTCATGCGCGAAAATCTGTTTGGGGAAATTTGAAACTAGCCAGTAAGCATAGAGCGGAGTCACATGTGGAAGATCCTCATTGGCTGTTAACACACGCTTGTTCATTTCAAATCTGAAAAGCTCCCATTCATTTACCATTCGCACACTCTCCGTGATCATGCGCTCCTTGCCTTTTTATTTTTTACATGTAACGTCTTAAAAGGAGCAGCTCCTTCAGCCCCCCCAAAAAAAATCCAAAAGAAGAAAACTTATATATTTAGAATATTTATTTTTAATTAGATTAAGATATGTTGATCTTTTATAAATTTCTTATTTTATAAATAATTTTGTTATTAATTTATTGATACATTAAAATATACTTGTTTTGATTTAATTAGATAGAAGTATGTTAAGTATATAAGGTTAAATATATTTTGTCCGATTTTTATTATTTGACACTTTCAACCATTTCATTTATCTTAAAAAATTATTTTTTCTTAATATTATAAAAAATTAAGATATATTTTCATTTTTATTTTTAATTTTAAATCATGATAAAATTAGATTAAATACATTTATGTTAATCAACTAGATTAATTATTATAAGTGCCCTACATTTTGAATTAAAATTTACTTTTAGAAAGTGCCCTACAAATAGGATAAAGGAGGTAAGTCTCACCCATAATTTAATTGAATATTAATTATATACTTATCTTATAAAATATTAGTTTATTAACTTCAATTGATAGCACCATTCCTGTTAAGCAACAATAGTCTGGCACTGTTGTCGGTGATCTAGTCACGGTGTTTCTTGCAGCACCAACAAGGGCAACAGCAGTGGTCTAGTTGCTGGTATGAGTACTTAAATGAAAGTTACTCAATTAGACCAATGACCCAAGAAAATGAAATCAGTAATTTAAATCAAGCTTGATAGATCAACTCAAATTTACTTAAAAAATTTAAGATCAAGCTTGAAAAAATTTTAATTTTTTAATATTCAAGCTTATTTGGTCAGGCCTTAATAGGCCTAAAAAAATTCGGTCTAAACCTAAAAAATAAATTTTTAAAAAATATATAAAATATAATAATTATGAATTAATTCTTTAAATTTTATGTCATTTTATACTAAAATATTATATATTTGAGTGCATTACTATAGTTATTCTTTTAAAAAAAAAAAAAAATATTTATATTTTCATATATTTATTATTTTAGTCAATAAAATATCTCAAAATAATATTTAAAATACATTTTGATATTAATTAAGTTTTGAGTCCTATACATCATCTGCCTATTAAAAAAATTATATTTTTTTATAAAATAAGAAAATTAATTTTAAGGTAAAAATAAAATTAAAACTAATTTTAAAAAAATTAGGGATGTACAAATTCTCGACTCTACTACTAGATAAATATAATAAATAGAACAATATTATTGGATAATTATCTTGTTACCATCCACGCCAGACTTAGTTAAAAATTAAGAAGAAACTAGTATAAAAACCTCTTATATGTAAGGGTTAAAAACTATAAAAAGTTAAAGGAAAAAATTTCAAAAAAAATTGTATTTCACACGTAATTAAATGATTTTATTTTATATAATATAATGATGATATTTTATTATATTTTTAAAAATAAAAAGTACAGTTTATTCAAAAATTATAAAAAACTTTGAACTAATCGGAGATAATAATTTTAAGTTAGGAGTCTAATCGTGATTGAATTAAAATTAACTTGATTATAATTAAAATGTATAAAAATATTTATATATGACCATAATAAGAGTAATATTTAAATAACTAAGACATTAATTTATAAGTAAAGGAAACATTCATAAATAAATTACATATAATACAATAAAACAGTAGTATAGCTATTTAAGTACAAAGTTTATAAATTATTATTTTTATTTTATTCTTTAAAATTTAAAATAATATTTTATACTTGATAGAATTATTTAAAAATTAAAATTAGTTCAAAAAATAAAGAAAAATATTTTTAAAAAGTTTCAAGTATTTGGGTTATAACATCCTAAATTTTCAAATTAAAAATTTTCAGTGTTTTCAAGGGTAAATTGGTCAATTTAGATAAATTATTGATTAATGAGATTTATGGGAGATTAATATAGTTTTTGAATTCTTGGACAGCCTTAAGAGAAGGCTAGGTCGATGTTTGAGTAGGTCATGTCATGGAAGGAAGTTTAAAATTTTGTTGAGACTTTTTATGTCATGCATCGTGGTAGGTGTGTCAATGCGCCGCGGCATACGTGCAAAATCAGTACTTATCAGACACGAAAAATAGACAGAAAATTAGAGAAAGGAAGAGAGATATCATGAGAAGGCGGTGAAAACCGATCGAGATCTACTAGGGCACGATCCTTAGGCCATATTCAAAGCATTTGGAGCTTGAATCATTATTGGGTAAGTTTCACATTTCCTATTCTCTCTCTTTATGCAAACATTTCTGACTTTTAAGGTAATGGGAGCTTTGATTTCGGTTTTCTTAGGTTTTAACCAAACCCATTGGCTTATTTAAGGTCTTGGGAAGTTAAATCAAGCCTCTAACTCTAGTTTATGAATTTTATAGTGATTGAAAATTTTTGTTGAGGGTTTGAACGAACCCAGGGTACAATTTGAAGCTTTTAAGACGATATGGGAAAATTGGCTAGTGATTTTGGTATATTAGGATGTTTAATAGGATGGTTAGAGTGTTTTGAAAATGGTTGGTATGTTTAGATAAGGAATTTAAATGTTATAGGTACTCAAAACCTAATGAATTCAAGGTATCCAGAGTGATAATTGTCACTTGATTGTGTAGATTGAGTGTTGCTCAAGCTATCTCGTGCATATAAAACGTGTGAAACTAACATTGAGTCATGGTAATCCTTTTTGTGTGATAAAGGGTTGAGGTAACAGAATAATTTACACTATTTGATTATATTGCTTAACTATTTGTGAGTAGATATATTAATTTGAACTTGAGATTTGATAACCTTGCATATTGTGAAATGTAATTTTATGCATGAAAAAATATTTGCAAATGATGAGAATGGTGAAAATTATATGGATTGGTTGAAAAATTTGAAATATACATATGCCCTATATGATAAGTGTGACCATGATCATGTTAAAGGGTGAGAGTTCACCTGTAGGAAGGAGTAGTAGAAGTCCATATGACATATATCTCCTTAGTGTCTAGTAAGGCACGGTGTTGTAGATTTTCTCCTTAATACCCATGCGAGATACGGTGTTAGAGAGTGATGCTCCTTAACATCAATGATGCAATGTTAGAGTAACAACACCTCGATTTGTGTGCGATAGGGGAAGACCATTGTCTGAAAGTGAGATAAGACACTTTTGGCAAGTTGATCCTACCACTCAAGATGAACTCAGATCATTGTGGATGTGCACTTGGTCTAAGAGCCTATGGTTTTAGTTGAGGTGATATGGAGGCTCGGATAGTAAAATGATCATGCTAGTCATAAATAATTTGTGTTGATGAAAAAGAGCATGTCATAATATGCTAAAAGTATATTTTAGAGTTTTATAACTTTACTCCTTTATGGTTGTGCATGTTAATTAATAGTAGGAAATTATTCTGTTATTGAGATATTTATCTCACCTCATGATTATATTTTATAGGTGAGGGCTCCGATAGGGGCAAGGGGAAGGAAGGGGCGATTGAAAAGTGAAGAGCGTAATTGTATAGCTCTTCCCTTTTTCTCTTTTTAGGTATTATAACGAATATTGCTATTAAATCATGCCAACTTAGGAACATGACATTCTTTTGATTATCACTTGCATGAAATTGTGATAAACGTGTGTATCTTGGTCTAAGGTTGATGTTGTGAATTAAGTGTGTGTGCTTGGCCAAGTCATAATTACAAGTGATGTATTTGAAGTAATTTATGTGTCAAAATGACCAAGTTGATATGTGTGTTAAATTTTATCCACCTCTTTGTGTTATTGCCAAATGACAATTTTGAGGTCATTTTGAGCGTGAATACTTATTTGTGTGATACAATTGATTTTTCATGTTGTATGTGGTCTATTTAATGTGGTCAAAGTATTCTGGGGTTAATGGCATTTGGGGTTATGAGTTGGACACCTTTAAAAGTATTTTGAGGTAAAAACAAATCATTTTGGGTTTAGGTGTCCATCTTTTAAATAATGATTGGTTGAGTGTAAAATTAATACTATTAGCTAGAGGGCTTGAAGAGCTTCATGTGAATAATTGAACCTCCCAAATCAAACATTTGATGGTGAAACAGCGCGTTTTGGAAGCTTGGAGTGTTGTCATCATGGTAAGTGTGAGCCACGATGCAAGAGGCCTTCGAGGGACTTGTCCCTCTATACCAACCAGATTTTTTAATGAAAGGGGCTTGTTCAGCTCATTTTGAAGAGCTGTTTGATTTTCATGCTTTTGTATTTATATTTAATTGATTTTTAACTATGGTTTGAGCTCAAACAATATTTTTTTTAAAAAGGTTTCCTTGGGATTCCATTATTTTAACTTATTATTTTTTAAACTCTTTGGTTATGATAACTTTTACTTGGGATTTAACTAATCTTAATTATCATAACGACGTGTAAAAGTGTTGTCTTGATAATGTTAAGGCAGACATTACATGGGCTGGCCCGAATAAGCTAAAGCCCGAAAGTGTTAGGGCCATGTTTTGCTATATGACTTGCCCAAATTACCGGCTCTAAAAAAAAGGGAAGCTAACACATCAAGTGATTCATTTTACACTACTACAAAATAGCTTTTTCACATTGCATTTTTAGGTATTTTTACGTCACAACTGGAGGAAACATCATACTTGACGACTTAAAATAATGACTTATTCATATCACATATACCTGTGACGTGAAAAATATTAATCATGTTACCCTTAGAGAAAGGGGGACGTAGTTTGTAAGCAAACCATGTCTCCTTTTTGTAAAGAAGGGACATGGTTTATAGACAAACCATATCACCCTTAATCTTATGGTGACATGATTGATTAAAACTATATCCCCTTTAGGCAAGTAGGCTCACTCGCCTAAAGGGGATGTGGTTTCCCATTCTAATAAGTTATAAGAATGGGAAATCATGTCCTTTTTTTAGTAGTGGTGACATGATTTTATATAAACCACATCTCTCTTTTGTTATTGGTGATGT